GGGGGGCAAGAAAGAGACATATTTTAAATTTAAAAAGAAAAGCTAAGTAGTTATCCATAAACTTACTATAGCTATGGAAAACTTTGATATCCAATTTATTGAAGGAATCAACACTAATTAAAGAAATATTCCTCTTGGCTAAAAGTAAAATTATAGTGCCCCTTTGCAGATAATATTTATCAAACACTTAATATGTACCAGACACATTGTTGTAGGCTTTACTCACATTATCACAATGAAGCTCTGACAAAAACTGAGAGATTGATTAATTTTCCTAAGTTCAAGATCTAATAAGTGGGAGAGCAGTGATTTCACACAATTCTGTGTCATTCCAAAGCCCATATGTACTCTTTGAGTGTTCTTTTCCAACGTCTTCCTCAGTAGACTTTTCCTATGTCCCTTCCTAATTTCTTTGAGAGCGAAATGAAGGGGTGGGGACACTGTTAGCCACAAAGACAGAAACAACAAGCCATTCATTCATTTATTAATTCATTTAATGATCGCTTGCTGCACCAGTGACTAGCTCAGCTTTGGAAAGGCCCAAAGGGGACCAAAACTGGCGAGAGCAAAACACAGTTGGAGCACAGACAGTGGCCAAGTCAATGGAGCCTAGGGAAAATCCAGAAAGGTTTTACCAAGGTGACAGCATTGAGCCGTGCCTAAAAGTAGCTTCCCAGGCAAAGAAAGGAGAAAGAGCATCCACAACAGAAAAAGGAGTAGCACTACAGGAAGTATTCTTACTTATGGGGAAATGTGAGGTGAGTCTCAGGAGGTGGAATCATGCTCTGAAGAGCCTTCAGTGTTGAAATAAGGAGAATGAACTTTATCCTAAGGGCAATAAGGAGCAAGGAGCAAAGTTAAACAAGCTTCCATTTTTAGGAATGTAACAGGCAGCCTTGCGAGCAGGGCATTTTGTCAAAGTGAAAGCTAATAAGGAACTGGACTTGGGTAGATAGATGACATTTTCCTGTTTTATTCCAAAGTCATAAATGAAAGTTACCATGATCTAGCAACTGCTCTAATGAGACTATGTGACCAAGAAATGTAAATGACATGGCCATGCTGCTTGTCTACCAGAAAATGAACACACAGCCTCTTTCTTAAAGACTCTTCATTTATTCGTTTATTCAACAAACATTTATGGAGTTCCTGCTGCATGACAAGTACTGTTCTATGTGTTGGGGCTTCCTGCTAAGCATTGGTTGTGAGGGAAGCTTGTTTGAAGCAACAAGTAACACGATCTGCCCATAAAGTTGAATAAAGCCGCAAAGAACAGGCAGAAAATAAAGCAAGTGTCAAAGAAAACAAGAAAAGGGAGAGCAACTCTTAAGAGAGAAAAAGTGAAAATGAGTTTGAAGCTTAAGATAGCCAGCATCTGCTGTAAGTAACCATTTCATTAAAAGTGCACTAAATTGTGGAGGTTCTCTCTCAGGAACTGTATACTATGGGCTGAGATTAAGTATAATGGGCTCCCACATGAATTCTTCTCATTATTTCTCTTGGAAGATCCGTAAATCTACTGAAAGGGTAATTTAGGCTTAGTGTTCACTATCCAATCATTTTACTTTTAATCTTCCCTGTTTAGAATTTTAAAAATATGATGTAGATAAAATCCAAAAAAGAAAGGATGGGCTCAAATTGAAATGATCTCAAGTTTTTGGATATTCTTGGTACTGATGGATATGCAATAGACTGTAGTTTTTTTGTCCCTGAAAGATGGTAGAGCTTTGGCCAGCTTATAGGACATTGCACAGTATTAATTGCAGGAACCAAGTAAAGACAGCATAGGAAAGATAATCCATACCTCACTTTCCTGAATTCCTTGGACCTTTATGTGACTTTAATGAAGTCACTTCTTCATCCCATTAAGCTTTTCTTTGAATTTATTCCACAGAAAGGACAAAAATTTTGGGACTATTGTCCAGGGCAAAAAGAGAGAGATTATTTGGAAGGATAAAAGTCTGGAAAATTAAACAATCAATTATTTAGTTACAGGAATGTGATTTTATGAAATACTTTTTCAGGAACATGGGCCTGAAAAATGATTTATAATCAGTACTTTTTTTGTTGCTAAGTCGCCATAAATATGGTTTATGTTATTAAAAACACACAACGAATAAAAAACAAGACAAACAAATAAAAAATCCCAAGCACAGTCCGTCTGACAGTGTTGTTTCTAGAAATAATAAATTCTTCCTGGTTTTCTGAGGGGCTTCTCCTTGACTTTTCTCTTAAACATAGCCCCTATCCTGGGCACGTGGTGCAGATTGATTCCTGATTAATTTAATTGAGTACCCTTTCCTCCCCACCCCTATTAAGAGAGCTTCTAAGAAAGCCAGTGGGTAAAGGGGCATTTTACACCTAAGGTGGCCCCGCACTAAATAAAATAGCAGATATGCTGAAACTCATTTCTACCGCATTAAATTATGTTGATTTGAAACTGAATTACGACTTATATAGTTTGTTTTTTCCCCTTATAATACGTTCAAGGGTTTTAAAGTTTCTTCTTCAGATCTGAAAGATGTGAGCCGTTAAATAGTCTGGTGGAGATGAGAGAATGAATTTTGTTAGAGTTTAAGAATAACAATTTATCCTAGGGAAATTAGCAGTGTAGAACACTCACTGGACAAATATCACATTCCTTGAAATAATTGTTCTGACATTTTAATGCATCTTCACTGTGAAGCATTTCCTTGTAAATGACTAAAGCAGACCATGTCTTAACAACTATTTCATGAAAGAAAACTTCAAGACCCTTAGACATTTCTCTCATAAGACTAACAGGAAGGAACAGAAACAGAAATGAAATACCAGAATGAAATGGCCTAAAATATAGTATACAGTTAAGTAATTTATTGAAAGAAACACACATCGTTTGAGAGGCAAAACTCACAATCAGCTTCCTCATACCCTTATAAGAGGGAAAAAAATAAACGTGAAGAATTTCTATAAATTTGTCTCACTTTCATGATTTTCATATAATCCATTAGATCTCTTTCAAAATAAAGGTAAACAACTAAACTCTTAAATAATTATCAAAATACTGCCCTATAAGAATAAATACATCATTTTCTTAAAATAAATAAATAAATAACTCGCTTTCATTCCATCAAAAAATAAAAGCTCTCTAGTCTGGGGCATTTCTCTATTGCTTGCATTAAACATTCTTTTATGTACTCAGCTATTGTTGGAGAGTTTTGGGTTCTTTGAATCTGTCATTTCAAGCTGCATGCATCTGCTCTCATTCTAGTCAATTATTCTTAGATTGCAAGAAACTGAAGGCAGTATTGGAGTTTTGCTACATTATTACCTAAAAAAAAAAATTCCTTATAAGTTGTTATAAACCCAGAACTTCACATACACATAATAAGGGAAATCCATCTTTCCTGATAGAGTAAATGAAAGACAAGATTAAGTAATGAAAGGTTTGTACTAGTCATTCTAAAATATAGGATCATCACTGATCCCATGAATGATAAATCTAAAAGATATTCTCCCTGGTACTTATTGATCTCCTTAACTGCAGTTATTCTTCAACTACATCCTAATCATCTTGCTCCCAACAAGAATCAAGTGTTTTGAGCCTCCTTTGTGTTTTGTAACTGCATTGATTAACAACGATTCAGGCTGACCCTGCTCCCTGATGGTGGTGGTTATGGGAGGAATAAATCTTCGTTACGTAAAGACATATATGGCTGTGGGACCAGCAATCGTTCACCCAAGCACTGTCCCATTCTGTTGCCCACAGTGCGTTTACCAAAGGAACCATTCAACAAAGCCACATGAGATAATCTTTTGATTGCTATCCTCTCATAATTAATTTCCCTCAAGGTGCAATTCCTTTCAATACTATTTTCTTGCCACAAAAATAGGTCTGTCTCTGAATAGCAAGTAATAATTTTTTGCTCACTGAGTATTTTTCTATAGTTTAAATATATGAGTTTGTGTGTGCATATTTAAATATTTCTTAAATATTTTAGTTGATAAATCATTGTATGCAATATTAAATGTTCAAACCTTTTATTAGCAATTGTTGAAAACCTAACTTCCATGTGTTCCTTAAAATAGGGCATGTTTGATTTCTGAATTGTTGTCATATAAATTGTAAGGCCAAAAATGGGCCCTTTGACTGAATATGCAAAGTTCCCCCTTAAACCACCTTGAACTAGGCAGATTTGCAACATTTTAAACTGGCACTTCATCCCTCTTTCAGCAAGCATCCTCTGCAGATTTAATGATCAGGAACATCCTTCTGATGCATGCTGGGAGATATGGCTGCAGGGTACAGACCACAGCAGACAGTGTGTCAGATGAGGCAGAACTTCTTGTTAGGGGTGAGTATGCTAATAGTGCAGTCTGAAGACATAATCACCATAAATTATCATACAAAGGAATTTAAATGCATGGACGTTGAGTATACCAGTACTGTGCATTTTACTTTCAATTTTACAATATATGTCATTTTTGTTTAACCTTTTGTCTTTGAAAAGATTACATGGAAAACTGCTCCTTAGGAAAAGACAAAACCTATAAATCCAACTTCAGGGTCCAAAACACCTTTAGTAATAAGCTGTCACTAAATACTTAACCAACTTAATGCCAAGCTGAAATTTTAAACAGTTGAGCCACTAAGACACTTGGACCACAGAGATAAAATTTGTTTGTATATATATGTGTTTTTCAAATGCAAAGCTAGTGGAACCCCCAGGCACTTTCTTCCTGCACTAACTTCTAAATTCTGCTTCCAAAAACAGGAAAACTGCATGCCTTAGATGGTGACATTTGCAACTGATAAGTGACGAATTTTTTAAAAGTCTGATATGTCAACACAGCCTCTCTGTGCAGAAATAACAGTTAAGTGGTTTCCAACTATGAGCCACACCACCAAATTCTGTGACCCTCTGAAGCTACATCTTATATGAATTAAGCAAAGACTAGAGCACCCATTCCTTTAGCACAATATCCCTTCTTATGGGAAATGCAGATCCTAGCATGCATTTTTGGTCTTTCTTTTCTTTTGCCTTTTTATTAATGTATAATACACATATGGAAATTTTCATGTATTATAAGTGCACAGCTGCGGAGCTCAATGAATAATCACAAGGTGAACACACCTTGTAACTACCATTCAGGTCAACAACTAGAACATTACCAAAATCCCACCTACTATCCTCTCTTTTTGTCATCTTAAACAATATGTTTTGAGTGGTGTGAGTATTGCATGAAGTTTCTGCAGATAAAATTTCGCAACCCGTCGCAAGGCCTTATATATGTTAGATTACCTGGTCTTTTACCCACCTGGAGTGTGTTAATTTTTAAGAATTCATTAATGTTATAAAAATCTTGAGCAGGAACTATGAGGCATATACTGAGCTTCATCACCTCTCTGTTTTAGTTGTGTATATCATCAAGGGTCTATTGATTTTTGGTAGTGCGTCTATCACTGGTCCCAGTACGATGTTGTTCTTAAAAGAGTGGTGTATCTGGAATGAGTGGCAGCTTGTTCATATTTTGTGTGTTTGTTTCTGTTCTGAAGGCTATTTGAACTTTTCCCAAAATTTAGATCAAGAATGTGTATCTGTATTGTGCACTTCTTCTCATAATATTCCATTTGACTAAAAAATTCCCTTTGTGCCTCCTGAAGTTACAAGGCTCATGGAACTGCAAACACCACACTGTAGTCAAATTTACAGAAAATTACTTTCTTCCCTTGCTATGGTCTGTTTTAGATTATGCGTATTTATTGTGTAGCACTTGCCTAGTAATTTAGATTGATGTTCCTAAAATTGGAGTTTTCCAAATAAATAACACAATTTAGAGGCTGATAACAAGAAACTGCGTATTTTTACAGGGCTGTAAGGGGCAAATATAAGTGGCAAAATAACGTTCTGCTTTGTAAGTAAAATTAAACTCAACAGGGTTTAGAACATAATTCAGGTTCAGCCTTTTCATGTTCTGCTCTTTTAGCCTTTGGCTTTATGCCTAGGAGATGATAGAATGCATAAATTT